CCCCCCCCCCCCTCCTCCGCTCCCGCCGGTCGTGACGTCCCTGCTTCTATGTTACTAAGGTGCTCACGAAATCAATGCCTAATACCAATCTACCAATCTTAATAACCACAACCCTAGCTATATATTCGTGGGCGTAACATGAGCGGTTTAAATATCCCTTTCCTAGCTTTGCTTTTTGCCGATGTATAAAATAGCCGTGCTGGATATCAACCTCCTTCCCAGGGTATTCGCTCTTTCCCTGCTGGAAACGAGGTTGGCTGGATATTAGTACCCTCGCCTTGGGCTTATGATCTGGTTCTGTTTTATAATTATGTTTTTAAAGAGCAGATGTGCTTTGTGTTGATTAAAAGGGTGTTGTCATAAAATGGTTGCTGTTTTAATAAACATTTCACTTCTTGTCCAAGAAGGTATAAAATAAAAGTAGCAACAAATCAGCACGAGCTCCACCTTTGAATTTACTATATGAGTAAATTCTTAAACACGTCCGAATTTATCATTATGATAAATTCGCGGCAAATTTTGAATTTATCATAATGATAAATTCGCGGCACCTAACACCAACCCTAACCCCAACCACTATCCCCTAACCACTAACCCCTAACCCTAATTTTTTTAACTTTTTAAATTTTTTTAACTTCTTTAAAAATCTAACTTTTTAAACTTTTCTTGCTTTTCAAAACTCTTTTAAAACTTTTTAAAAGTTTTTTAAAAACTATTTTTTTAGAAAGCTTGAAAAACTCCCCAACCCTGCGCCACAGAATAAGGCACACAGAAGGACCACTTACGTCGGAAGCTTTGAAGTTTATGTCACCCTGGCCGCCATCTTCCTAGCCAGTCGATTACATTTTCTGGCCAATAAACGCGCTGTATTGGCTGAAGGCCCCGCCTTCTGGCCAGTCAACTGCATGTTTTTGCATAGAAAAATGGTGACACGTTGCACCGCTGAGTGGCCTTTCTGGTACTGATCTTTATTCTGTGCCTGCGCGACCAGCCTCCCTTTTAGTGCCATTACATTTATAACAATAAATCTTGTGTAATGCTTGTGGTTTTATGATTAACTCTACTGATAAATTCAAAATGTGCCGCGAATTTATCATAATGATAAATTCGGACGTGTTTAAGAATTTACTCATATAGTAAATTCAAAGGTGGAGCTCATGTTGGTCATCTGTGACTGTGAAACGAATGACATCTCCATTTGTGGTTAATGCAAAAAATAGGTACGCACTGCGTACATGTGGCTAGCCTATTCAGCTTCTTTAATACAGCTGGAGTTCACATTCATAACAAACATTCATTGTGATCCAAAATTAATAATTACAATAGAATATAATGGTCAAAATAAAACAGATCAGCAGTATCTTTCTTGTAGTGCCAACAAATGCTTTTTACAATCACTCGATTTAAAAGCAATGGTTGATAGCAATGGTGCAGCCAACAATATTATTGAGTCACACTTAAGTGTTTTGTTTTGACAATAAGCATATACAGCAACTAATGATCAATGTTAATTTATTGCTTTTCAAAATTTTATTCTGCAAAAATATAGGGCCATATCCAGCAATTCATTAATATTTCATTGCATGGGTTTCTTGTTACAAGTATTTTCTGGTACCTGGTTTAAAAGTTATTAACTTTTCTTGAATTGCTGGCATCGCAGATTTCATAAAACCTTTAAATTCAAAGTTCTTCAACAATATAATATTTAACACTAGGTAGAGTTTTAAACATTTTTTTATTTATTGTAAGATCTAACGGCATCAGAATTTTATTTTATAATGAACTCATCCGCCAATCTATCTATATATACCAATTAACGACTGATTTAAGAAAGCTTGAAAAAATCACTATCCAGTGAATAGCACTATCCGGTCTTCGTACAACCGACCCCCTGAACATGTGTACAAACTTGTACAAGTATAACTTGCACAAGTCTCGTAGGTGGTACCGTGGTATATGTATGTAAAATTTCATTCTCTTACACTTACTCTAGTAAATTCCTGGATTCTGTACAGAAGGTACCATCATGAGCAAGGTACAGACAAGAAAGAAGTGCTCCCTCTCAGGAAAATACAAGCTGCTTGTGCGAATGCTCTGACTCAGCCGGCAAAGGAAAGAAGCGAACACGTGGTCGCCCATCATTAGAAGAGCAGGAAATTTTGAGGTCCCAGAACTAGAAGAGATATGTTGGTGTGTACCCGAAGATGTTCAGAAAGATGACTTTGACCACTTCCCAATGTATGACCCGACACGTCAACGGTTCAAGGTTTGCCCAAGAAAGAATTCTGCTTTACCACACATCAAGTGCACGAAGTGCAATACTCATATGTGTTTGAATAAAGATAGAAACTAATCTTGTTTCTAAAACTTTCACCTTTGTTGTTCATAATTATTTCTTGTTTTTATTTTTCAAAGATACATACAAAAAGTTAGTTTGATTAATTTTGCCACGTTTCGGACATTTTAAATGTCCGTCTTCAGCTGTTGTTAACATTCAGCTGTTGTTAACATTATATCACAGATGAAGTATATACTAGCCCGCGTGCAGGCCCAAGGGAACTGATAGTGGGCCTGCAAGCAAGGCCCGGTATTTTGTAAAACGCCCCTTTTCATAACACGCCCCATTCGCGCGTCAATTGTCAAAAAAGAACCAATGACAGCACCCAAATATTAACAAACAAACTCGCATTAAAACGTTGCGGGGTTTTCTCTGCTTATTCAGAACATAAGCAATGTGTAAATGGCAGCGTTTTAACTCCAAAAAGCAAGCAACGCAGTCAGTAATTGCCAAATTTGCAAGTGCTCATTTTCAACTAAAATCGGAACAGGCAAATTAGGACGAATTTCAACAGAAAACCAGTCTCAAACTTCAAATCGTGAGGGAAGTCGTGCGACACATTAGCATTTATATTATGTGTGCTTCGCTGTCGCCATTGGCATTGTTATAAATAAATTGTCTCACTTTACACTTATCAGACCGTGTGTGCAATTCTTGTTGGCGGCGGAAAGTACGAAATTTATTTCAGTTATTTCATTTGGTAAAGAACTCTACAAAAGAAGAGAGCATTCAGAGTCCAGATCGTTTCGTTTCAAACGGCAATTTAATACCGCCTTCTGTTTCGCTCTCTCAGCGAAGCCTTGTAAATCGCAAAGTGTTTGGAATAGGCTTAAATGCAACTGCATCTCAACATCAACCAAAAGATAATTTTCTTGAGGAACATATAACGTATCAAGTCTGTTTGAAATTAATGAAACTCAAGTAAAGGTTACTATAGTTTACCTCAGTCGTAATGAGTACTATTCCAACACCTCACGACAAGCAATCCCCATTGGCATAACGGCAATAACATCTCCTCCTTCAAGTAAATAATAAACAGTCTGTTCTTGTTCCATTTATAATCGAAAAAAGTGATCAATTTTCGAATTTTAAGCTTTTCGAGAGCCTTTGTGATGAATCACTTATCTAATTATAGAATCTAACAGCAAACAGCCAATCAGAATGCCGCGTTCGTGGGCGAACGCGGAAAGTACAAAATACCGGGCCTTGCTTGCAGGCCCACTATCAAGTTCCCTTGAGCCTGCTCCCTTGAGCCTGCACGCGGGCTATCGCAATCGGTGCAGTATAATTTCACCCAACTGCAAGTTTTATAACGTCTATATTTACAACCATCTAACGCCTTATGATTCTATTAAGTAAACGACAAAAGCCCAGTCACACTACATAACGATAACTATACGATAACTTGTAAACACGCTCTGATTGTTCCAAAAATTATCGTTACATTCGGGGAAGACTAAAAAATCGAGGAAGCGACTTTAAAATCGTTATTATTGTATCGTTGTAGTGTGACCGGGCCTTCAGTGTTAATCCATTGTATGACGGGCTTTTTTATTACGGATTGAAAAAACTTTTCCAGATATACTCATCTACACCCACATTATTCTTAAGTTACGAGCCGTTCTCGATCCGGTTTACGGGTACGTGCATATCACCCGCCCGTACTCGTTAACCGGGCAATCTTAACTCTCTATCACAATATTTTCACTTATATGTTCGCTTCATTTTAACGTACTATTTAAAAAACGAGCAGGAGTGTTTTATTAGGTTTAAAGCCACGAGCGCGCAGCGCGAGTGGCTTTAGACCTAATAAAACACGACCTGCGAGTTTTTTAAATGGCTTCAAAAACGTTTGCATAATAAGTCAAATCTTTATATAAAAATCTTTATATAAAAATCTTTATATAAAAATCTTTATATAAAAATCTTTATATAAAAATCTTTATATAAAAATCTTTATATAAAAATCTTTATATAAAAATCTTTATATACTGTAGTTTGCATAACAATGGTCTTTTGTTAAAGTGTTCTTTAGCTGGTATAAAGACGTATGCACGTGACTAATTTCTTACTCAAGATTGGATAATTGCTTCATGAATTATTAATGAGTTTTTGAAATTCATTTAAAACACTGTTCAGCCCGGACGTTAGGATTTTCATTTCGTCATTTTACCTATGCAGCCACCCATTCCATGTATCGTTCAAGACCAGTTATCATTGTCACCCTTCGTCGATTAACAGCTTGTTTGAAGAAAACAATTCTATTCTCATTACGGAAGCCATCACGCAGCCGTAGCTGAAATTTGTTGCCCAGTTCTTTCAAAATTGGTAATTTTGATGAATTGGACGTTCCGGTTTCATGCCGCTTGTGATACACGTAAAATAGGGCACGAAGATAATCTTGCCATTCGTTACAATTATCCAAATATTCTCTGAAGGTTGTTCCGCCATCGTTGGCAAAGGTTGGGTCATTTGTGTCCTGCATTACAATTCTACGGAAGCGTGCTGTCTGTACAGGGGTGGTAAATGGCATCATACTCACATCTGCGTCAGGACAGAAATTCACCCAGTTCAGGCATTCTGTTATTAAGGTTGCGTAAGGATTATCTCGATTTAGCTTGTCAGAAAAAATTCTAAAATAAAAAATACCCCTTTCAGTTTAAAATATAAACTTTTAGGGGTTAGATGCGCGGCAACAATTCCCTCAAGCGTACTGCCTTTTTATAGAAGAAACTCTCTAACATGATTTCAGCGGTCAACACCAACATATATCAATGCTTTGTCACTGAATTATCGTAGCAATAAAGGACAATGAACAATATAAATTATCTTTCTAAAGAACGAGTCATATAAACACTGATTCCAGGTTGATATTTACTCGATTTCAACTGGTTGTGTAGTACCTCTCGTCCCTAACCTTAGAATATGAATGTTTTATGTCCAAAACAACCATGCACCTGAGTTCTTATTAATTATATTTTCTTAATATACTTTCTTAAGCTAATGATAATAATGTTCACTGCACAAATTTCTCTTGAACTGACTTATTTTTGTAACCCAATGGATTGTATGATGAATCGATAAACAGCGGCGTAGCGTGCGGGGGGAGGACACCCCCAGTTTTAGTGAGGTAGTCGGTAAAACGCGAAGTTACTCGGTAATGGCAAGGGCCATGACACCGGTGGGTAAAACAAATCGGTTAATTTAAAGTGGAATTTTGCTCCTCCGTAAATGGCTTTTAATAATCAGACAATAAAATTAAAGGAATGTTGTGGCTTGTTCTCCAATAAAGTTATGCAAAATGTACGTAATTCTTCAGTAATCACTTATATTAAATATTTACGCAGAAGCATTGCAGCCCCTAATTTCCTGTCGTATTACACTTGCAAGAGCTGCGAAAACAGTCGGTTCTGATTGGACATGTTCAACTGTGCGCGAACTTTTGACCTTGATACAATAATACGCCAGAGAACTAAAGATTATATTTATATGTTTATTATTTATTATTGACACGCGGTGCTCATAAAATGTTTCGTCAATTTTTCAAGTCTTATTGCAATATTTTTATTACAATAAACAAAAAAAAAATGTTATTGAGTAAAATGACTTATCGCGAAGTAACAAAGACAACGGTAATTCGGATTCCAATTAATAAAGCGTTTGCTGCGTTTCAGGTTTTACGTTATTTCTAGATGGCAGACTAAAGTCACGGTAAGTGTCACTAAATTAAACGCGCGCCGAAATATTTATTTGTCAATATCTGTATAAC